TCAGAATGGCAGCAGACTCTGATGAAAAGTGAAACAACGCGTTACAGTGTAACAACACAAAATTGTGTTTCGAGATTGATAGCCGATTCAGGCTAGAAAACATTGCCTCTGATTATAAGAAAGTTATTCTTACTAATTTTCAATTTATTGAAATTTCTTTCGATTTAAAAATTCGAATCTGATAACCAATTAAAATCATGAAGCTGATAATAATGAATGATTAATTTTTTTAATTTAAAAATCATAATTGTGAGCAATCTCAATTTAAAAAATTGGAAGAGTTTTGAAAAATGCCAAAAATTTAGTAAATTGCATTAGAACCTTGAACAAATTTCGTTAGAAACTTCAGGAAAATTTTTGCTTAGAGCACTGGTGCCAAAACCAAATTTTTTGTTGACTGAATGCGCGATCTGAAAAACGGGGCCAGAATTTTTTTTTTTTTTTTTTCTTACAAAGCGAAACATTTTAGGTGTTTTATAGAATCTTTATTAACAAAATAAAAGTATATTTTAAATCAACTTTAAATTAATCTCACTAAATATTTATCAAAGCGTACGTAAACAACAATAATAATTGGGATAATAATTTTGGGATGATAAAATTCCAAAAGAAAAATTTAAAGTTACATTTATTATCTATTTGAAATCTAAAGTTTGGTACTTGTAAGACATTTCTGTTAATTACACTTTATAATTCAAATATCTTGGCAGCTAAATATTAAATTCTTAGATTGACATTTCTTTTGAGTAATTACAACATTTTTAATTAGTCATTAAATAACTTACTTTAATTTTGAATTAAAAATAAACAGCTTATAAAAGAATTTTCACAGAAAATTTACCAAGTAGGGCAAAACTTGAGGACCGTTACAAACAACATAGTCTCTTTCTGCTATTTATTATACTTTCCTTCGAAACATAAATGAAAATATTTTTGTACGTAAATAATTATAAGCTTCTTTATTTTTTTAAGCTTGGGACATGATAGCGCTTCTATTCTGATAATTTTTTATCCTTGGAGAGAAATTATTAGAGATTATCTTCATGACGAATTATAGATGTTTATCTGTCACTCAAGTTCTTTTCTCTTTAATTTATAAACAAATTTCGCATATAAATGTACTTCTGAATAAAGCGATTATTCTTAGTGCGAAAATTCGAAATTGAATGAATTTGTTTTTGAATAATTGTGTGAAAGAAAGTTAAAGAAATCTGTAACTTAAAATCACTGGATAAAATGTATATCACCCTGTAAATTAATCATCACCCTGTAAATCAATTTAATTAATTAATAAATTAATTAAATTAATTATAATTATATAAATTTTATAGATTTTCTGGTACGCTATTCATGCTCGTTTTTAATAGAAATGAAAAGAATATAAGCTCAGACTTTGAATAACTAAATCTTGAAATCTTTGCGACAGATTATTTACAACAAATATATAATTAAAATGTCTTCACGGACCGCATAAAATAGCTTGAGAGGCACATGCGGTCCATTCACCACCTGTTTGTAGGTTTATTTCTCGTATCGAACTTTTGCAATGATTACTTTGACCGTTAAAAGGGGGATAAAAATTCAAAGTTAAATTAAAAAAACACTATATCAAATTTTCAAAACATTTCTTTGCAATATTCTTATGTCATTAAGATCAAATCTTTGAAAATTTTCAAGAAAGTTGATGAGATAAAAAAGAGGGTCAAAAATCAGTTTCAGTATTTGCAAACAAACGAAATAACTGCAAAGAAACAGAATTACCAGTGTAAAATAAAACCGTGTAACTAATTAAATTTTGATTAGGCCTCTTGGTATAACACATGTACAGAATAAATAAAAATAGTAAGTAAATAAAACCAAGAAAGTAAAATAAAGCATAAAAATAAAGTATCAAAAATTAAAGACAAATAATTATAATCTCAGTATTAACTATTCTCTATTAATTAGGTTTTAAAAGCATGCGTTTTATAACGTTAACTAAGAAAGATTTTTGTATAGATCAAAAACTCTTTTTGGAAAGTTACTTTCTGCACTGCGATTAAGGGAAGAAATTCACAAAATTTCTAATTAAATTCTTTAAAAAGAAACAATTTTCCGCACTATAAGAGGAAAAAAACTAGAATTTTATATGAATTTCATATTTTCAACACGTCAGCATTGTTTTTCAGAATATCTACGTGTATTTAAAAGACTGTTAAAGCGAATATTCAAAAGTTGTTTTCTCAAATTAGTATCATTGCATTTGTTTTACTGCACTCTCAGTGTTTATTTAAAAACAATTAACTTCCTGTACTTAAAAATAGGAAAATTTAAAAATCGCTCTTTTTAATTTTTTATTTTTTGGGAGGAAGAGGAGGATAAAGAATGTGTACTAAAAATCTTATTATGTATTTATATACCAAACTAATCAAACATTGGTCTAAAATTACAAAACTTTAAATGATATAAATCTTGTAAAATGTTGCTCTTTATTAAATTAAGAACAAAAATTATAATATATGCAAATTAGTACAAAGTCCAAAATTGTAATTATAAAATAATAGTTAGTTTTAAGATAAAGATCTGAATATATATTTAATAATATAAAAAATGTAATATATTGGAAAATGGAAACGTACATTTCATTGAATTTCTTGTTTCCTTAAGGCGAAGAAAAAACTTAAAGTGGAGGGGCAATTTGAAGGAGAAAAAGAAAAGAAGTAAAAACTCTTCTCTGCTCACTTAAATTAAATTCTCAAATAAAATAAATAACTGAATTTACCATAAAAAATCTCCTAATTGTCTTGAATGCCTGAAACAAGCATTTCCGTATGAATTATTTCTTATTCTTTCAGCTGAAAAACACTTAATGACATTTCAGCATTTGCCGTAAGCCATATTTTCGTCATCTTGTTAAAAAGATGGTTAACTGCCACATACGATTATAATTAATAAGCCCATTATGATATCAACAATTATTGCCTTTGCAATTTGTTAGTGAATCATAAAACTGGCTTGATCTTCAGATCGTTCGTAATTTTACTTCTTTCTTCCCCCCCCCCATTTTTTGCTGTTGTTGGCATAATCTCATTAATCGTCACAAGTTTATGTATGCAATAAATAAACACTCCCAGTCTGAGATTAATGGTGCTTTTGATGGCTCACGAAGTTACTAGAAATCCTGGTTATATGGTGTCACTAATATAGTTATAGTATATTTATTTGTGACATATTTATACATTAAGTAAATGTATCTCAGTATACCACTATTCGACTAGACGTATCGTGAATAAATCCAGAATATTAATTAAGAATGTTTTAACTTTCATAAATAAAATATATATAATATCATAGGTTAGTGCCAATTTTTATAGAAAACTGCTAGTTAAAGTTTTTTTTTTTTCCTTTTTTTTTTTTTTTTTTTTTTTTTTTGAAAGAAAGTTAAATTTTCTACTAGAATTAAAGCATTATCTGAAATTTTATACGAGTCATCTCTATTACCTTTATATTTGTGTATTAATTGATAAAATGGACAATATTTGTTAATCATTAACTTCAAACTGTTTATTTGAGTGCGGTAAAACACATGACAGTATCTGCGTACGGAAAAGGATGTCTTCATATAAGACTTGCTAAAAAAAAAAGCTCCTGGCTCGTTTCACGTTACACAAGGTGAAAACCACGAAACATATCCATGCAACCAACCCGTTCGCTTGAGTTTGAATTCGGGTCGAAATACCAATATTCAACGGCCTTAAAAAAGTGAAATTTGTCATTGATTAAATCTCCAGTTCAAGTGTAGTTCTTAGGCTTGCTCAGTTTATATAGTGAAGATTTTAATATACTGTACAAGATATATTTGAAGCTAATAGTAGTATCTGAAGCTATGTAGTTGATAAATAATGATTCTTTTCCCTAATTTATGGAAATGTTCTCAAAACTTCCTGTTTACAGTTAGTTGTCCGATTTTTTGAAAACCTGAAATAATAATTAAATCAGGTGCATATTACTTGCAATTTACTGATTGACTGATTACTATCATTAAAATATTATCATATGAGCATTAAATGATTCTAAATTTAGGCATAAATCTAAAATAAAATTGATTTCATTAATTCTAAAATTTATAATTAATAAAATTATTATCAAATTAGCAGTTCAGTTGTTCCAACTGTATGAAAAATTACGTACATAATTTTTCAAGTTATTTTTTTAGGAAGATGCAGAAAATTTTTTAATTTGCTTTTTTTATTTTTTTATAGAAATATTTTAAAAACTCTCTGTTTACAGTTAGATGCTCGATTTTTTGAAAAACCTGAAAATATAATTAAATAATATGCATATTATTTGTAATTTACTGATTACTATAATTATAATATTACTTTCTGAGTATTAAGGGATTCTAAATTCTGATTTAAATTTAACATAAAATTAATTTTATTAATTATGAAATTTATATTAATATTAGAGGTAACGTTTTTCCATTCGTATGAAAAGTCTACGTACATAATTTTTTGCGTATTTACACGTTGAATATGTTTCATATCAGATATAAGTTTCAAAATGATTATCATCCAAATCATTTTACTAGTATACAATTTTAATGTAGTGAATATTTTCATATACTATTCAACATCCAGAAATTAATAATATATTAATGTTATTAAGGTTGTTGATTTTGGTTACTGAATAAAAATTCTTAAAAATACACTTTAATAAAACAAGACCAATATAAAAAATGCAATGCAATTATTAAAGCCTGTTTTCTTTTTAATTAATTGGCTACATATTTTCTAATCATGAGCCGTTTTTTTTATGAAATACTAATTTCTAAATGTCTAATTTTTTGACAAAGATATACATATATGTATTTAAAATGGGATTTTATGCTCAGTGTTCCAATAATGAGTTAAATAAATGCTCATTTTAAAATAAATCCTCTTGCAAACTAAAGAAAACTTTTCCTATTTTGCACATTTAAAATTTTTTTATGTGAAGCAGAGTAATAAAACTGCGTTTACCTCTTGAACATTCCTTCATGATTTTCATTGTTTTAAAAATATCTGAGAGAATTGTTTTATTGACTGAACGAATGTAAGTCTCCTGGCAGGTGACCTCAAAATGTCTGTGACTCGCTAAGTCAGACAACAGTTCTGCCATAGCGCTGTAATAAACATCATTCTGACGGTAAATCATTCCAAAATGTTTCCATTCGAAATGCTCGAGGAAGGCTAAGATGGCATGAGCTTTGTCTTTCAAATCATAGGACATTCGTATCAGAGTTCTGAACTCTTCTCGCTTCCTCAGAGCATCACCAAGACCAGTCAGTATTGGTATGTTATAGTACGCAGCAAACCTCCCAACCACCTGTAGGTCATCACTACAAGCAGGACCCAAGAAAGCATTTATTTTGCGGTACAGGGCCAAATCTGTTGCTTTTCCCAAAGCCATTTCTTCTGAACATTCTTTTGGATAGTAACCTTGTAAGAGATTTAGACTGATATTGTATTGCGTTCGGCATTTCTCAGCAGCTATGTCAATGGCTGGACCTATCCTTTGGATGTCGAACCTATTCCGCATGGACTTGTCCACCATCAGAACGCCCACTTTGTATGAGAGGTCTGTTTCCAGTGGTTCATCAACTCCGTGGACGAGGACTATCCAGCAACAGAAGAACCACAACGGAATCATCTTTCACTAGCGTCTTCTGTCACACCGCATTTGCATATGCGATCCCGAGAGGTTGGTGTCCTCTGGCTCCGAAAGAATGTCACTGACTGCTATTTTTGTCCCCATCCAGCGTATGCGCGACATTACTTCGACTGAAGTGAAATCGGGGCGATTCTACCTCGGTGCGTCTGCTACGAGAAACGGGAGAAGTTAAAATAACAGCGCTTGGCGTCAACGCGCTTCGCTTGTTGCAAAATACCGCTAGGTGTCTCCCTTTTTCAGTTTCTCCACCACAGTAAGAATCCCATCTGACGGATGTGAGCCAAAGAAATCAGCGATTACTGGGCAGCTGATACTAATGTCAAGGTTTTCCGAAGTGAAGTTCGGTATCAATTTACACTTCGGCGGAAACTGACAGAGAGTCAAAACAGTCGTTTAATGATTTCAAGATAATAATCAATCGTCGACGGAAACATAAAGGAAAGCTTTTACTTTCTTCCTCTATATAAGACAAGTAGCACTTGTTATAAAATAAATGTGATAAGTGGATTTTATTTTCAGTTTGAGACAAATTAGACAACGTGTGAACAGTTTTTTTTTTTTTTTTCGTTTTCTTTTAATTGGTTTGGTAGCGATAAAACTGAAATTTCAATTTATAATTGCGCTGACTGATTTTAAAGAAATACTTGTAATAAAAATAATTTGAGGAGAAATTTAAAACAAAAATGTTAAATAATTTTAATTAATATTTAATATTTACAATGTTAACTATTTATTAATTTTAAAACTGTAATTAATTCCCTTTTACAAATTTTGAAAAATGTTATCACTTTAAGAATAAATATTACTGTATTTAATAAGAATAATATTTTAGTTTATGTCAAATATGTCAGGCAAATACGTAACTAATCACATATGCAACAACTATAAATGCTTAGATATCATAAAATTTACTTGCCATTGTTATTGCCGCATACCTTCTATACTTTCAAGACACAACTACGTGAGCTTTGCAAGTTCGATAATTAACTCCCGTTAATACAGCTAAACTACCTAGCAAAGCACACATTACTGAAGAACGTTCACTATATTCTTTTGAAATGGCTAATTAATATGTTGGTTTTTTTTAATATTTTGTATCCCAGATGAATATGCAATTAATCACATATAAATACATGCAACAAATAAAAATACTTAATTTGATTATTTTTTGTCATTATTATTCCCACATATCTTTCATTGTTTGAAGAGACAACGACGTAAGCACTGACAAGTTCTATAATTGACTCCCATTGATAATGCTAAATTATCTAGCAAAGTACGCTGATGAAGAATGTTCACTATATTCTTTTGAAATAGGTGAATAATATTTTACTTTTTTTCTAATTTTGTATGTCAAAGCGAAATTTATTACAGTATACAATATGAAGGTATATATGTATGCACAAACATTAATGCGCACACTGCGTTGGCTTGCCATATGTGCATTTAATATTAGATTGTTGACTAGAATATCACGTGACGCGGTAACGAATGTTAAATCATATAATAATTACATAATTAGTATGTCTGCTACAAAAGTTTAAAGAAATATTATCGTTTAAGCAAAATTTAAAACTAAAAATAAATAGAGAGAGACTTATATTCAATATATTTTGTAAGGAATTTTCTCCCTCCTTTCCGCATTCCTTCGTGGTGCAATTGGAAGCATACTCGACGCGTATTCGAGAGGTCCAGGGTTCGAGTCGCGGCAAAGGTACTGCTTGTTTTTCTTATCTCCTGCTTTAAAATAACCCAACGGTTCTCCAATGTGGCGCTCGAACTAAAAGGTGATGGGTAATAATTCATCCTTATTAGAATTTGGCTTCTAAATCCTCTAATCCTAAGTTACTCTTTAAAAAGGGGAGTACGTTAGCTATTTTCTTCATCCTTTCCGCAGTCCTTTGTGGTCCTTTGTGGAAGTATACTCAAAACTCGAAACGTATCGAGAGGCTCAAGATTCGAGTCCCGGCTAGGGCATTGCACATTTTTCACGTATTCTGCTTCAAAATGACCTAATGACTCTACAGTTTATTTCAATATCTAATTTTCAACTATTACATTTTACCTATACCGAAAATCAATTTCATTCTGGATAATGTGTGTGTGTGTGATTATGGCAAAGCCTCGAGGGCTATCTGCCTAAGAGGAGGAATGTCTTCATTGAGGACTTTCTAAGGGAAACTGGCTCGTATACACGTTACACATGGGGAAAACCACGAAAACGCCTATGCAGCCAGCCCGTTCACAGGACTCGAACCTCAGACCGAACTACCAGTGTTCAGCGACTTTACCGCTGGGCCGCTGGTGGGCCCATTCTGGATAAAGATGACAGCATGTACAATAAATAGTTGAAAATTTTTTATCCGATCAATTTTAGGTTATTAAAAGCCTATTTTTATTTAATACACACGTAGTATAATCAATATTTCCTGCAAACTACTTTGAAAACATTCACCTAAAATTATGGTTTACTAGGCTTCAGGAAGCGAGAAAGATTGTTGGGTGCCCTTGCCTAGATTTGAATAACAGATATTCAGTGCTAGCTGTATGGGGTATTGGCTATATTTGCAGACTTCTAGTGGTTACGCCACGGAACATCCTTTAAAAACGACTTTTTTAAATGATTACTCAAAGCATTTTAAGTGAGTACTCAACAAGTCACTTTTGTAATATTCAGGATATTGTGCATTATTAACTGGAAATAAAATTGGCAATCATTAAATTGATTGTTGATTTTATAGCAGACCGAATACAATAAATATCTCGAAAGGTTCTTCTTTAAGGTATTTAATAATATTAGATACATTTGAGAATGATTAAATTTATATTAGTTTCAAAAAACATAATTAGAACTAGAATTTAAGAAGCGAATTTTTTTGAAGATGCATTTTTTATGAATTTTAACTTTCTGAATTCTGTTTTGCCACTTTAAAACAGAGCGTAATGTTTCTCATTCACTAAATTATAATAAGGTTTAAATAAATATCCAGAACCAAAAGCAAAATTTCATTGAAGTCTTCGCATGACATATTACAGAAATTGTTAGCATTTTTTTTTTTTTTTTTTTTTTTTTTTTTTTTTACAAAGGTGATTTATATATTCAACCAGTTTAAACCTACAAATTAATTTTACATGAAAATTGAGCATAATTTTATAATTAAGCTTTAAAATGTGCTTTCAGAGCTTAATATTTTAATCATTTCTTTCCTATAGCTTTCTATTTAATGTAATGCGTTTGTTAATTTGAAAAAAGTGAAATTATTGACTTTAGAAACTTCTGACGAAGCTTTTTTAAATATTTTTGTCGTTACGTTACGTTACTGTACTATCCTCTACTAAACATGATAAATACTGCCATTGAACGCAACATAAGATCTTTCATTTAATTTCTCAGCGATATGTTGAATATTTAGTTTCCAGGGCATTGTCATTCGTCGTACCATAAGATGTGTAATTAATTTTTACAATGTAACTACTGAACAACTGAAACGAATTAAAAACTATAAATTCATCTCTTAATAGTTAAATCTTTATTTTAAATATAGATTATATAAATACATTACATTTAATTTCTAATATATTCAATAGATACTTCAAAATATCTACAGCATTATAAATTTAAAAAAATTTCTTTTCAACTGTCTACATATTGCATTTGGTCCATAATCGATCGATTTTATAATAATTCTTCAATTTATAGTATTCTTCATATGACTTTCGTTTTCATTTCCTTTCTTAAATGTGTACAGGAAATATGCTTACCTAAATGCATATTATTCCCATCTTATAACAAAAGTATTTTCGTTTTAATCTTTTAATTATAATTTTCTGAAAATTTTCTTATAGAATTTTCTGGAATAGACAGAAAATTCTAAAATTGTTTAATATCCGTAAAACTGCATTCCTTTACAGAAAAAAATGAAATGGAAATTCCAGTCTAAGAAGTTTATATCGCTTATCTAAAGTTTTGCTATTCAGTACTCAATAGTGTATTCATAAGAACTTGCTGAGATAAACAGATATGAAAATTATAAAAATGCCTTAATTTTGTGTATTATCTTTTTATTACTCTCAAAAATGTTCCTAATTTATTGTTCTTAAAAAAGCTAAATATGTTAGGACTTTTTATCTGCTCCTATGAAATACAAAATCAGTATAATTTCTTGCATGATGCATAAAGATTATTTTAGCCCATTTGTACGTTAGCTCAAAAGGGCTATTAGTCTCAAAGGCGCATTTTTGTTTTCTAGTATGTTTCATATTTCGTGCAACTTTAAAAAATTGTTAATTAAAAAACTAAAAAAAAAAAAAAAAAAAAAAACTCTGAAAGCTCTTACATTTTATATTACGCCTAAAGGAGCGTTTTTTTTTTTTTTTTTTTTTTTTTTTTTTTTTTTTTTTTTAACGTTTTGGTGGTTATGCCTATTTATTAAATATCGTGTTCTTCGCACTTAAGCCAAAAAATTCAATTCAATAGCATAGCAATATCACAAAATATTTAAAAAGAGCATATCTTTAGAATTTCCGATAGACAGTCTCCCGCGCTGGAGATAAAAATGTTTTTTTTTTCGTGCTGTGTTGCCATTGTCCATTTCAAATCATTGAGTTTGTTAATAAAAAATTCTTTAAAGTTTTACAAAATATGAAATATATAATAAAATAGTAAATTCCAAATTCCAAATTTGGGCTTCCAGATGCCCGTATTCGAGTTGAGGACTACATTATTCAAAATTTGATGTCTTTAGATACTGTTATCTTTTCACAATGCGAGAAACTTACATACATTCATGCAGATTCTTCATTACTTAATTTCTTTAAATACAATGCAGGCTCTAATATTTAGCGGCAACAATTTAAAAAAGTGAAAAGCCTTTTACGACTTTGGACGACATAAAATTAAATTAATCAAAACGACCAAAACGAAATTAATATCCTTTCTGGGAAAATTGCTCCTTTGGGCTAACAATTTCAAAGTGAGTAAGGCAACACTATAGGAAATAGAACATTTTTCTCTCCAGCGCGGGAGACTGTCTATCTAGAATTCTAAAGGTATGCTGTTTTTAAATATTTTTAGCACAATGTAGCGTTCGCTCAAATGCTTTCAACGTGCATGTATCTGTAAATGAAAAAAAATGTGTAATCTGAAGTCT